GCGAACCCGACCGAATTTACTTTTGTCTATTTCCCCTGACTTACGGCCAATTTAAAGTGCTGGCTTAGAGTGGCCAGGCCACAACTGAGGTCCTGCCATATGGGTGACCGGAAGAAGCGGCCAACAAGCGGAGCTTAGGCCCAAGAACTCAAGTTGATATGGACAGCACACCCGCACCAATATTAACCCCAACTCGCAGTCGCACTAGGGTGGAATATTAGAAATATTTTCAAAATGATTCTCTATAAATGAAATTAGCTGAATGAAAATGAAAATGATGTAGTAAGTCTGTTGATGACGATGTGGATTTTCAGGTACCTTTTCTTTATATTACAGTAATAAAATATTTATATATTATACAAAAGTCGAACTACCCTAATCCCTGCACACGCACACTCACAAAACGTTCACCTACACCCCGCATAGTTGTGTGCATGTCAATGCGGCTGAGGGTAGGAAATGAGTTTCAAAGTGCTTAAAAGTGGCTGCTGGTGTTTGGCTTACAGTCCGCTGCCCTGGAGTGCCAACGTTGCGCTACATTAGATTAAACAGCTTAAGAAGTCAGCCAGTAATTCCAAGGCACCAACACACGCGCACATACGCAACCCAAAGATGTCAACGTGGCGTATGAGCAATGTGGCCTTTCGCCACTCGCTTGCCGCCTTGAGTCGAATGGCGATGGTGTGGATGATGGTGATGGTGATGCGGTCTTCTTGTGCGATGTGGCAGAAAAATTAGTGACCCTGAATTAAATTGCCATTATTTTCAACTCACTCGAAAAGATGCGCAAAATACACACACTCGCTGGCATCGAGTGTATTTGAGCGGCTGCTGAAAAGCGGATTTAATATGAAAATTCCGCATTACGAGTTGTTTGTCGTTTCACTTTGTGTACTGCATATATGTACATATGTACGAGCAATTGCCAGACTGTGCATGTGTGTGTGTGTGTGTGTGTGAGCGTGTTAGGGTGTGTGCGGGCTTTGCGATTGAAATTCAATTACTTGTGTCCCTTTTTGCTGCCGCCCAAAAAGCATAAAAAACTGGCGAGAGCGTAGCAAACTTTTTCGCCTGCAAAAAAAGCTCGTAATATTCAGCGTGTGTGTGTGTGTGTGAGCCTTATATCTGGTGAATGTCATCTGGATATGGCTACAACTACAACAGCATAACTTTGAACAACTGTCAGCCGGGTTCAGAGTGGCCACGTATCTGTGTGCGTTACATGCCCTTTGAGGTTGGTTAACTGTCTCCTGCGTGGTCCGAGTTTTTATCGCCGCACAGTAGGTCGCCAGTCTGTTTGGGCCTGAGTTTGAGTCAAAAATACAAAACACTATCAGCAGGCCAGCACCAAGAGCCGAAAAGAAATCGAGCGACATTGCCGACATGGCACACAAAGTTATGGCCTCTCGTCTGGCAATCGCATAAATCAAACCTTTGTCTTGCAGGTGGCAAGCGGACTTGGCCAAAGATAGAAGCATTTTGGTAGCTGCATCGAATCAGTTTATTATGCCACTTCGGGGGCCATTTAATTTACATTTTATGTGGGTGAATTAAAATGTTTTCCAGATTTGTGGCATATAAATTTGCTGCTTAGGCAAATTTTAGGGTTTGCTCGCAATGATGCGAAATAGATCGATGGCAATTAAAGGCATTCAATTAGCAAAGAGCCCTCGGTGTTTTCCGATTGATTATATGACGCACATGATTGATGGCCATTTGAGCCACTGCGATTCAATCATAAGCCGTATTTTGATTATCCGTATTTATACTCAGAGGCGAGCAAATAAAATTAATGAGCCGCAAATGCAAAGTAGGGAAATAAATCCACCAAATCATATTTAAAACACGTGGCTTTGTTCTCCGTGCCCAGCATTTCTTTGTTTTTATTTCATTTTATGGCTGTTGTTGTACCTTTCACGTCAATTGGAATGCCATACATTTCAATGATTACGATGCGCAAATATTCAATCAACTGTTTCGCCCGTTCGGATCTATGTGGACCCACACTCCTCAATCTTGCCCCTATTTCAATATCCAAACACCCCGAAATCGCCTGTTTTTGTTATGGGTTTGTTTGTGGGTTTTCGGTTTCGCGGGCCTGATTGCTTCATGTGCGAACAATTCCAGCATTTTTTCACGTTTATTATTTTAAATAATCGATTTTCGGCCAAACATATAAAGGCGTTTATGTACGCGAGGGCCGGGGTTATATCTACATGCATACTTATATTTTATGGCCCCAAGCTAAGGACACTCATTATTCGGTGCGGCCTGTAATAATACCGTGAATAAGAAACAAGAGCTGAAAGACTGCTGGCCTAAGCCGACTGTCCAATACCCTTCCTATTTAAATCCCTCAAATACATGGTTCGCAAGGTTCCAGTGTATCTTTCATAATAGTTTCCAATTAGTGAGTCCACTTTGTAGGGCATACAAATCTAAAGCAATTTGCTTGTGGCCACTAAATTGGCCATTGCCCCGCCCCTTTTTCCTTTTGTATGTGCATGTGTGTGTGTGCTAGGCGTCGCAGCTGCGGTTCATAAATAAAAATAAATACATCGCTTGATTTATATGGCCCTAATGAGCTCAGCGGCCAGTTCAAGCGACTTTGGGTCCAACAAAGACCGAAGAACCGAAAGGAGGCGAGCCGCAAAAATAAATAAATAAAATCCGCAAGCACATCATGTAAATACTGTGCAAATAAAGAGATACATTCGGCGATGTTGGGGAATGGCTATGGCGATGGCTATAAGGTATGGGGATAAAAGAAGGCTATGCAGTTGGGAAAGTCGCAATGTTGCCTACTTTTCGGCTGTTTGCCCGCCAGGCAGCGGCCATTTATCCGCTACGTGCGACACACACACACACGCACACGTCTAAAGCACATATGGATATGTATGGGTGTATTCCCCCAATTTGGTTTATCGTGCTCTACGTTTGATCTGCTTTCAGTGCGTGCCCATCATCATCAGCATTAGGCATGATTGTTGTTGTTATTAGACAAATATATATCTATGCATAGGGATATATGGAGGCACGGATAGCTGGAAGCCGTGCAACTGTTTCTGGCATAATGACGCTAATTTTGTACGGTCCGGTGGCATTGCGCCTATCCTAAGTCCTGTACTCGGAAGGACCAGCGGCGATAACGTATGAGGCGCATTTTTCAGGACCTCGACGTCCTGGCCTAATGTCAGGTGATTTGACAATGGCATTTATTAATTAAAACATATGTCGCACGCACGAGCGCTCACAGACGGCTGATCCGCCAGCCAGACGCTATCGATTCGTCCTTGCCCAACAGGGATAGCACTGGAAAAGGTTAACAGGCCGAGTTGGCAGGGGGCCAAAGGATCAGAATAGAAGCAGACAGGACACGACGAAATCATATTCCTGTGCGAGATGGGGAAACAAGTCAATTGGGTGGGACCCCAAGTTCATGCCAGTCCTAATTCGTAGCATTAAAGGCTATAAAAGGGCTGGGCTTTATTTTAGATGCCATCAATTTAATTAGGGCGATTCAAAATTCAAATTTAGCTAGTCACGTTAAATATTGCACATTAAGTGTGTTATTATTTTTACATAAATATCGATAGTTCATTTAAATGCATTTAGTTTTATCTTCATGTTATTAATGGCTCTTAGATGTTCGTTTTATATAAATTAATGATTTGAACACACAAATTGGTTTTTACTGCATTATCAGTTTTCATTATTATTAAGCTCAATAAGTAGTTACCGAATAAATTGTTTTGTTATTTTATTAAGCCAACATAAATAACTCTAAATAATATGCGTTGAGTGGGTATTAAAGCCTCCCATGAAAGGATTGCATTCAATCGGTAGTCGGAGCTCTTAAAACCCATTGTAATTGCAAATTAGTGGCAAGTAATCCGCGGACATCCAGCGGCCTGGCAATCCGGCTCGCAGGACCAACGATCGATGGCAACTCTGGCCAAAAATGGAGGCAAAGTGGGAAAAGGACATGCCAGTTGGGCCAGAGGCAATGGGACAGAGCTGAGCAAATGAAGTCACGTACGTGCGATTTTTCTTCTGCTTTGGGGCACATATTAAAATACGTGCGTCTCGCTTTTACTATAACTTTTACACAAACACACACACACACACACACACACACACACACACACTTTCACGGACAGCGAGGTGCCCACACTCACACACATGCACATTAATGGCGGCATGATGAGGCAGCTAAGTTTGCGTGTTTGTTGCTGCTCACAAAAGGGCTACAAATGGCTTAGGCTTTTCCGTTGTCTTTGTGTGTGTTTGCTTCGTTTTGGGCTCTTATTTTTCGGTTTTATGTGCTGGTGTGCGTGCGTATATATATATTTGTTTCAATTTCAATGACTGCAAACAACATTTGCACTTAGTAAATAAAATATAACAAACGCAGTGGGTCGGGCTGTGCTGTCGGCACTCGGTTCGTTTAAAGTTGGCCACACTCAGTTTAATGTTTTTCGTTCGGCCACTCGCTTTCGGCCCCATTCCCCTTTGGCCAATAGCCAGCATCCAGCCTCCCAGCATCCCAGCATCCCAGCATCCAGTGTCCAGATCCAGAATCAGAGTCTGAACCAGATCCAGAGTTGCTCATTTGCATTTTGGGCGCTGCAGCTGGGCAGCATACGAGTTGGAAATGGGCCAATGAACTGGCAGACAAAGGCCGGGGTCCATTCTGGGACTTTGACTCGAAAAGGGAGCGCTTGCTCCAATTTTGGTTCATCTTCATTCCTGTGTACTCGTACATGTATTCACACCCTACGGAATGAAGCATCTACTTTGCCGCGAAGTAACAGAAGCAATATGGAGTTGATCACTACATTTTGGTTGCATTTCACTTGTATTGAATTAATTCGTGGACTGCTGTTAATCAACAATGTGTTCTTGAAGTTCTTTTATAACTGAAATTATTTGTCAGTGCACCACCTTCCGACTTCTGAATTTCGCTCAACACTGGCACTTTCTGAGGAAAATCAACAGAAACAATATGCCATTCCCAGGTTCCCTTTTTGGCCAGAGTAATGTGCACCGTGTCGCACCAGTGGCAGACCCATTGTTGACTTGATTTGTATTCTTCTTGGCTTAGTGCAATGGCCACTTTGTATTTTTGGTATGTGCCCGGGCACTCGAAATTCCCCCATGCAGGCAACTTTATTGAATTTCCACTGATATGCAAAGCAGCGCATCTCAAGACCGAAGATAAGATCTCGACAGCAGCACCAGAATGCCCAGAGCAGCCAGCCAGCCGGCCATGGGTGAGCACTTGACCACCCCGCTCCGATTCTCATCGCAGACGCAGGAGTGCAGGCAAATATCGCAGTTCTCCTTCCAGCCCGATTGGTTTTGGTAGTGGGTACCGGCCAATTGCTGGCAGCCCACCTTCGGCGACCACAGACAGCACCAGTCCAGAATCGGACCTTTAGGACACATTAGTTGCGATGGAGTATGGAGTTTTGTCACATACTTACCCGTGACGTTATATTTTGGTGGAACACACTCGGGTAGATTGTATAATTTGTTCCCGGTCTTGGTTGAAAATAGTATCTTATCCTTATCCGACTTAGTTTGACAAAATAGCCCAGATTGGGAGACGGTACACTTGTGCTGAATTTTCAGGCAGCTTGAGCACTGTGGTCCTACTGCCCGTACCTCATTTTCGATCTTCGAGGCGCCGCCTGGTCCTATATAGCATAAATAAACAATTAGCCACGCTACCAAACATTTTCCGGTGAGCATGTCTTATATCCAAAATCTAGTCTGTGGAATGTGTGTTTTTGAAAGATTGCTCTGTGTAGTGCTGTTATTTGAATTAAGCTTTATTCATATTCAATTCTTATTGCAGCCAGGTTTTGTAAAAATGATGATTACTTATTGCTTGCCTTTAGTGTACAATTATTTCATACATGGTGAAAGTATTTTTGAAGTGATGCCCCAATAAATTTATCATTCTATTTGAAGCGATAGTAGTCCCTATGCTGTAATTGAATTCGAGGAAATTCGAGATAAAATTGTAACTGCCAAGCATTTCCATTCGACCCAAGAAGTAAATTTACCCAGGAAGTTAAACAGTACTTGTATATTCGTGCATTTTCTATCTATTTTTCATTTGTGTGAAAATATATCAGCCGCAATTTATCTGCCCGTCACCTGTCCCATGTACGTGCGTACTCATGTGTGCAGCGTCAGCAGGAGGCAGGATCCGCAGGATAAGGGATAAGAAGGATAAGGGAGGTGTCGAGGCGACCCCTCCGAGCCTGATGAGGGTTAATTTGCCAACGGCTCAACAATTCATCAGCCAGTCCAATTAACTAAGCGCGACCCATTTCCCCAGCGATGCGGCGCGACTTGTCGGATGTTATAAATTTAAATTTAAAGGCCAAACAAGGCGCGGTGCCAAGTGTTTTATCGCTAGCCCCGCAGATTTTTACTCCAAATGAAGAAAAACCGCCTGCACAGGGCAAATCCGAAGTCGAGCAGCCAGACGAGCAGGTCCTCACAGATGGTTACACGATGTCCTGGCTGTCCAGGTGGCCAACTACTTGTATTTTGCTATTGGCCCACTCCCGATGACAGCGTTTGCACTTTATCCTTGTCAGCTGTTATCGTTTGTTGCGCTTCTGAGCCAAAGGAGGCGTCCGCTTTGAGAAATTGCCGCACAAAAGTCAACGTGTAACGAGAAAATAATAAATGCCATTAATACAGCAGGCGGCGCAGGCGAAAAGCGGCAGTCGCAAAAACAGAAAGGGAAAGCTTGCCAGAAGAAAGGGATTCGAGTGTGAAATTGAAAAGCGAGGAGCATAGTTTAAGCAGCTGCTTCGATAAGGAGGTCGAAGATATAGATACCCTATAGGATAGGTATTTCAGAAACACTACTTGCATTACTTTGGCTTCTGACATAAACAATGTATTCAATTATAATTTGAGCTATCTTACACTTAATCTTACCAATGCTTCATAAATATTGACAAAAGGTAACCCCTTTTGGAAGGAAAAACACATCAAAGATGTAAACTGATGAAGAACAAACACAGTTTAAACTGCAAAGTCAACTTTTCCAAAGCACTCCCAAGTATGAATGAATGATTCACATTTGATAGGCTGGGCGTTATGTTATGATCAATTATTGGGCGGCCCTTTCGCCAGTTTGTGTGTTTTTGAGACCAGGTGCCGATTGCCACGCAATGGGATGTGGGCCTAAAGGCGGCTGGGTGCTTTACTTTTATTGACAAACTCGACGGGAATTTGTGCGAAATGTGCGTGCGCGACTTGGCCAGGATATACCTTATCCTTTGAGTGTTCTTTTTTCTGCTTTTTCTTTTTTTTGAGCACACAAAAAGGGAACTTGCATGTGTGTGAGTGCGGTTTTGGTTTGGGCGTGGCCCGGGGCATGGCATTTTTTGTCGTAGTTGCCGCTTGTGTCTTTTGTTTCCACCTCGTGCCACTTGACATTGCTTGCGGTTTGTTAGCGGTCCGGGCGAATTCCAGTGTGCAACAATCTCGTACGGGAAATTTTGTTATTCAAAACACGACGGATTACCGTTCATTCCGCTTACCCACACACACACATGCGTTTCGGTAGGGACGAGCAGGCAGAGCACTGTGAGAAATAATGTCAACACTGATGCACTTTATTATAATACAGTTTTGCAAGCTAAAATAGCTCCAAAACCTTTTTTGCATATTAAATATTAAACTTATTGCGTATTATCGCTTATAATTATAAATATACAAAGTTAGAAAGATTAGGATCCCAAATTGGTGGAAGTTTAATTGTAATTTTGACTCAATCAATGGCATTAATAGCCCATTAAGATTTTGTATATGAATACAAGTTTTTCTCAGTGTATACACGCATGCCTATGTGAAGACCGCAGGCGGCACCTTGCCCTGCGACTCTTGTCGCTGCCGTTGTCACACGGCGCACATTTGTTAGACACTAAGCCCGTGTATGCCTCTCCGGTCGGGATAAGAATGTTTATTATGTTTATCACACACACAAACACAGGCATACACGGACTCGCAGGACTCACCAACACAGAGAACGAGCGCTTACAACTACAAGCCAAACCGCAAAGCAACCGCACGTACAGAACTTAAAGGGGCTGACGGCGAATGACAGACAACAAAACAGCAAAATGAAGCCGCCGCTTCCGTTTCCGCTCGCAGCGGCCATTGTCTTTCGTAACTAACTTCAAAATGGCGATACGCCGTGCCGCGCAATTATGGCCACGCCTACGACTTTTGGCATTTTCCGGTGCCTTCGGTCCTGCCCGCTTTTATTTCGCATTATTAAATGCTTCAGGTAGCTACTTAAACACGTTTTCGATTAGAGCAGCTGCTGTCATTACTCAAAGGCGCGGCCGGAAGTGGCGGCACCGGGAGTCTCCCCCCTCAGTCTCGTCTGTCTTGCGGGGGGAGACTTCCTTTTTCAGTTGCCTCTACCTGCGATTTTCATTCTTTCCTTGCTTTCCTTTTTTTGTATTGTGTACATCTTCAATATTTTATAATAAAGTGAAATTCCAGGAAGAGGAATACAAAAATGTGCAGCTAAAGTTGCGCCACTGGACGAACTGCGATGGGGCGGTTGGGCAGGTTGAAGCAGCTGCTTACTGGAGTGTGCTGATAAGACTGGGGATCAGCTTAAAAGAAAGGGAAACTTGCAGTATTAAGACCGAACGCGGGCGAGAGGAGCGGGGAATATTATTTTTGTAATCACTAGACTACTTCATTTCCCCTCTCTGATAAGCCAGACTTCAATTTATATTGCTGCAGTTGTGGAGTGTACTTGAACGTTATCAGCAACTTTAGTTTTGCACAATGAAAACTTGCTAACTGCAATCTTTAGAAGCGCAAAAGTAAATAGAAAAATTTGCAGACAATAAATAAAATTTTCTGATTCGCTTACAAACTAGCACAGTGCCAAAAGCAAGTAACTTAATGCTACCTCCAATGTTATCTATCGCTTCCCTAGTTCACTTTGACCTCCTAAAGTGGAAGTAAAAATATATATTATTTTATTTTTAATGGCTGTCAGAGATTATATTGTACGCAAAATGTCCAACCCTTGTAGCCACTCCATCGTTTCATTGTGTCTAAGCATCTCGGGGTAGCCATGCCAGCCAAGCCGCGAAGCTGGCTGAATCCATTCTGGAATCGTGGTACGCAGAGTGCCTCGAAAACAGCCACAACCTGTCATAATTTGATGTCTTAAGCTGCCAGATGGGCGGCCAGAGCGAAGTGGGGCCTCTTTAAAAATAAATCTGACGGTGCTTTAATGTTGTATCCTGTTATCGCCGACGACGTGCAGCTGTCGCTATTAGCGTGTGACTGCCGTGGCCTCCATGGCCACTCCCACTCCATTCCACTCCACTCGAGTCCTTTTCGTCCTGCCAAATGGCTGCCGTGTTGTGCCCTCTCCTCATTGCCTGATGCGGCGTGTTGACAGGATATTTACAGGATTTCTATCAATATGCCGGCATTAGCACGTACGCCTGCAATGAACGTGAACGTGAGTAATGCCAGGCAAAAGCAGAAATACGGGAATTTCCACGAAAAAGCCTGAATGAGAGACAATGAAAGCTGCTAAACGGAAGTCGCCATCATTAACTTGGCTTCTAATTTAATCATATTTCAACAAACCAGCTCATTACATTACTGATTCCAAAACACACTCGGTGTTTGTCTGCCTCAACTTGGTCGCCATTCATTCATTTTCTTGTGTTGTAAAACGAAGGAATCTTCAAAAAACTTACTGCATTTTCAAAGAAAACCCAAATGAAATGGGCTCTATTCATTTAATTACATTTATCTTATATCTCCTCTTAAATGACTCAATGCTGGCTAAAATCATTTGGTTCCTGACTCCCATTCCGTGTATTCATTGCTCTGATTGCTGCGATTTCTCGCTATTTCTTCAGCAAATTGAAAGATCAACAAGACTCAGGTGCTGGCCGTTAAACTTATTCCTCTTATTCCTCTTAAATTATTTACATTTCATTTGTACCTGCAGTCGGTGGCTTCAATGGGTTAAGAGACGTTGGGCCCCAGTCAATTGTTGCCAGTCAAACAAAAACTGGCACGACAACAACTAAACAACAAAAACAAGTAAAGCAACAAGAACAGCAACTACAACAAAAAGGAGACCAAGTATTTGTGCTATTTAAAATTTGCTTTACCAAACGTCAAGTGCCTGGCAGCGGCAGTCGGGCCAAAGTGCCACTCGGTTCAACTTAACTCTTGACCCCTGACCCCTGGCTTTCGCCACGCCCCTTCCGGCCATCAAGCCCGCCCACTTGGACCTGGCTTATGTGCGTTGGTAACAGAGAGAGAGCGAGAGGGAGAGAGGGAGAGAGAGAGGGACTCGACTGAGGCCTATTGGCCATAAATTATTAATGATTACTAGCCCGAAATTACAGTTAACTCACTTATTTGCTCATTCGCAAATGAAGGCCAATTGCAGCTGGTTGGCCAGAGGGGGCGGAGAAGACGGAGTCTAATTTATTTTTACCACAAACCTGGCAAAAAGCGAAGAAGGGTTAGTCTCCAGCTAATTGTGGGTACGATTATGTTTAAATATTTATTTTGATTGTTGAAATTGCGACGGGGCGGCCTCGGCATCTATCCAAAAACTTCTCTCATTTCATATTCATAACAACTTTTTCTTATTTATATTTCATATAATTTCATGCCTGCTGCGCATAGGCAAAATGTATCCTATTTCATGCAAAATTACGCATTTTTATAAGCTATGTGTTTGTTGCGGACTTCCGCTGAAAATGGTATGCGC